GATGGGATCTCAATATGTTGTCCAGGCTGGTCTTGAACTCCTGATCTCAAATGATCCTCGAGCCCTGGCCTCCCAAAGTGCTGGGATTACAGATGTGAGCCACTGTGTTGGTCTTCTTTTCTTATTAACTTAATTTCTTCACAATCTGCCGTTGTTTTATACCAAGAACAAAGCTGTATCTTTTGGAAGTTTTCTTTTCACACTTTCCTATATCTTTCTTATGCTACTAAGATGTGTAAGATATGTACATCAGAGACTTAGAGTTTACAGCTCAAAATTGTAAACCATGCTTCCTTTCTCTCTAGCTAAGGATATTCTCTCTACCATTTGCCCTTCTGAAACTACTGGTGCTGGTGCTTTTAATTTTTCCTCCTCAAATTCCTTTTTACCATTTTTTTTTTCATTTTTAATCTTTTTCCCTACACGTACTGCTTCAGGGCGGCTTGCCCAATGGCATAACTAAAAACTAAAATGTCCCTCATTGCCTACACTTTTACATCCAAATGCTCTTTGGGTTTCTGGGTTTGGTAGGAGATTGCTGCAGTGAATTCAGTGTGATATGAATGCTAATAGACAGGTTGATCTTCAGGCTAAGCCACAACTACTGGACAGGGTGGTGAGATGAGAAACCATTGCATTTCCAGGATGAACAGCACAGTCCTTCTACACAATATATCCATGCAACAAAACTGTACATGTAACCCTTAAATTTATACACTTTTCTTTTAAAAAAGCATAATCCTGGACCTATTGGCCAAAGGTAGTTTTTCATTAGCTTTTACGTTTGTTAAGGTGGAAATGGAAGACGCACTTAGATGCAAAGAGTAATTTAAGAATAACTTAAGGCTGGGCTCGGTGGCTCACGCCTGTAATCCTAGCACTCTGGGAGGCCAAGGTGAGAGGATCCCTTGAGCTCAGGAGTTTGAGACCAGCCAGAGCAGGAGGGAGACCCAGTCTCTTCTAAAAATAGAAAAATTGTCCAGGCATGGTGGTGTGCGCCCATAGTCCCACCTACTTGGGAGGCTGAGGCAGGAGAATCACTTGAGCCCCAGGAGGTTGCTGTGAGCTAGGCTGATGCCACAGCAGTCTAGCCCGGGTGGCAGAGTGAGTCTCAGAAAAACAAAACAAAACAAAAAGTAACTTAAGTGTAAAGAGTAACAATGAGTAACTAAGTTAACCTAGGTTAACTTAAACTCCTTTCTGATTTATTGAGCTGTCTACTAAGGCCTTTCGATTACATTTCAAGGTGTCTTCCTAACTGTCTGCTAGGTTTAATTATTCCCCTCCCCCCAAACAAAACAAAATCAAATCTGACATAGTTCCAAGGTCAAATCTATTCCTGCACAAATGCCAATGGCATTTTAAAGGTTGTGCCTTACCAGAAAAAGTAAAAAGAAACCTATGAGAAAACAGAATGACATCAGTAAGTGTGGAAGTATCCTGGATGGTCTTATGTTGTCAGTCTCTTCCTATCTCATATCTTAATACTTTGTTTAAAAAAAAAAAAGACTTTTTTATTGGGTAATCTCTTTGCTATGTGCTATAATAAACAATTGTACATGCATTATTTCATTAATAATCCTAATCACCCTGTAGGTAAGAAAACTGAGAATTGAAAATAGAGCTTGAAGACAAACAAATGTGAATGTAACCCTTTACATCCAAAATTACAATTCTAAGAACCTTTAATCAGAACAGCTTATATTTTGGTTTGATATCTTTGTACCCATGAGTTTGCCTGAGTCACCCAGA